CTTACCGCCTCAGAGATTACATTTTGTTTGGAATCTGGTTGCTGTTGTGAGGGTCTTGCGGGGCCGGCTGCTATCAAAGTCTGACCGCTCAAGCATTCAAACAAGTGGGTGCATTGTGGTTGCCACAGGGTGTGGACAATGACTCGTCGCTTGGCTGAATCGTTAAACAACCCGAGGCACACCCAACGAAATAGCAGATCCCGGGTTTGGTGCCATTGGCGGCAGAGAGGTGTTCGACAGCCGACAGGTGGCCTCTTCTGGCCTGGTGTATGGTTTAAAGCTGGATACGTGATTCATTTCGTCACGTTCAACCATTTGTTGCGTGTATGCTAAGCAAACCGTCGGTGGTGAGTTTTGTTTTGAAGAGGTCTGTGGCACGTGCAAGGGCACAGAAGGGAACATGCAAAGCAATTCGCCGCAGCTTGTGTTCCAAATTCCGAAGCAATTGCCCTCCAAATGCGGTCTTTGCAACATTTTGTTTGGAAAAGTTTGCGTCTCAGTGGCGTGGCGTCGGCGTATGTACTTTTCAAATTTTGGCCTGCCAAAGGTGAGCAGGGGCTTAGTTTCATGCGTTTATAGTCAACCCCGACTAGTAGGCAGGAACTTTCCTGCTTACTACAGGCGGAAAACGCTAAAAAACCAGGTTTGGCAGACCTCAGAATTCTGAGTTTTTTTCATACACCGTCAGGAAGCAGTAACTAGAATGGTAGGTGGGTTGATTGTTGAGCATGGCCGCTCGCATCTGTTTACTGCATTGCGCATTGCAAGCTGGCTCTTCGCCGGTTAATAGAGCCAGTGTTGAAGAACTGTTTGAAGCATGTGCAAAAAAACACGCGACATATACATATCACCACTTAGACAGCAACATATCACCCGTTCACGGCAAACCTCAGAAAACAACACCACACACCTACACCCCCAGTAAGCAGGAACTTTTCCAAGGAAATTTCATGGAAACCCTTCCTAAAATTATTTCCTGCTTAACTTCTGCCCCCGTACCACTCCTGCGTACTGGCTGGGCGTGATTATATTTTGCTAGCGACTTGTGGTCCAAGACTTGTCGACCAGGAGCACATGGCTAGGGACAGTACTCGTCAAAGGGTCCAGGCCTGCATGCACACACCGGAGGAGAGGATGGCCGCAAAGCCAAGAATTGTATCAAACCCTATGTTGAGGATCAAGGTTCCTTTTTGACTTTGCTCGGCCGCCCCCTTTTTCCAGAGCAAACTCTGTACTTGGCCGCCACTGTGGGCGCAAGGCCATGGAGCTAAAGGGATCAAAGTTGCATCACATCAACACATTGCAAAATTGAAAAGAGAAGAGTACGCACTTGGCGACAGTTGTCCGAATCACTGTCTTTGACCCACGTTTGCCAAGGAGTCACGCAGCTCATCAAATGGACGGAACAATGTACGTGATGAAGGTCCGAAAACAAAAATATCACCAACAAATCGTAAATCAAACAAGGGGAGGCAGGCCGTCTTGCAAGACTAAGCCGAAAGCCCCCACGCTTTGCCTCCAATGCCCCATGGCGTCAGCCAGGACGGTGCGAAACAAACGCGGGGCCTCAGAACACAACCCTGACGAACACCTGACGGAATTTTACAATTTTTCACTGTCATCCATTTCGCCCATGACTTTGTCCGACTTGACGAGCATACGCAGAAACCAATCCCCAAATGAAATGATCCGAAATGCCTTGTCTGCGCAATGCACACCAGCCACAATGCTGGTCACCATCCTTTTTGTGTTTTTCATCACCGAAGTGCTGTTTAGTAACAAATTTTGCATTCAACAGGTGTTCCTCTGTTCCTCAAGATTGTGAAACAACTATTCGGCGACCAAACCACGCTGGTGAGCAGCTTTGTTGAAGTTCAATTTCCGAATTGCTTGCTTCATCTGCGATAGTGGCCAAGGCGGTTCAAGTTGTTCGGGTTTCAAGTTTGGACGCGCCACCACGAACCACATCTTTCAACACAAACGCAAACAAATTCCCGCGAAGAAGGTTGCTCCACTCCTGTTTTGCCCAAGTTTTTTTTGGGCTCAGGGTTTGCAAATGATGCCATTCACGTGGGTACCCGAGTTGGTGGGAGGAGGATGTGCCCGCCTAGTCGGGGTTGCTTTGGAAGTTGGGGGGCGGTGGGTCACGGAAGCAGCCACCGTCCTTCGCTTGTTGTCCCGTCACAAAACACAGCACCTCCCCAGCATCCTGCGTTTAGCTGCCCGCGACGCTTGGATTTTGCGGTGGGCAGCACACGTATCTGCGGCTGCCATCATCGTTCGCATGCAGCCTCCTCCACCCTCCTCCTTCCACAAGCAGCCACGTCGAGGGCCCGTGGTGACCTCTTCGCAGTTCACCGCCACGGCCCACCAAAAGGCGCGGTGAAGCAATAAAGTTGTTTACATGAACAACATTTTCCAAAGTCAGCCGCCGGGTTTGCCGCAAAGAAGCAAGATAAAGAAAAGGTGTAAATGTTCCAAGAAGAGGACGCCGCCGATTGAACGCCAGCTGTGGTCAGCTCCTGGCAATCTTCCTGTCGAGACGAAGACACAGTGACCAAGGCACCTACCTGCCCACGGGGAAGCCAACATACACTTGTGAGTTATCAAACTTGTTGGCCCTGAAGCAGTCAGAAAGTCAAACGTTGCATTTTTTCCTGGCGCAGTTGCGTGTAGCCTGGCGGATCTATATGTAATCGTCGGGCAGCCCCTTCCATGCATGTGGTGCTGTGTTGGCATGGGGTCCGACCTAGTTCACGTTCTCGTGCACCCTGGTTCCCCACACCGCGCAACTGGTGCGACTTAATGCCGCGGGAACCAAGCGGCTTGCCGACTTCCCGCACAGTTTCGCCGTGCAAGGCTCTGCTCTTGCTCGGCCGCGGCCGCTCTTTTCGTCTTCAACATCCTGGCTCAGGCAAGCTCCTATGGGGTTTGTGCACATCGTGCGGGGGCCGCTATTTTGACGTTGGGCATGCCAGGGGCACAAAGGAATCCCTCGGCCTTTAGGGCACTTGGTGCGGCAAGCGGAGCCAACTGGATGTAAATGCGGGATGGATTGTCCACGGTTGACACAAACCAAACTGTGGCACCAACAGGGGCCGTCTACGTTTAGGATCCAGACTGTCGGGTCGATCAGCGCCTGCCGGATGAACACCATTCGGATCAGCATATCCCAGCCATTGGATGCAACCATCGGATGGATCTCGGGGGTGCCCCACATGCTTGTAAGCTGGCCGCTGAGGTGGTCGTTTGCGCCAAAACAGGTTGCAGGGGGGTTGGGTTCCTGCCTATGCCTTCGAAGTCACTAGTGCATGGAACTGGCAACATGAATCTATTGGCAACACCATTTTAATTTCCCTTTCGGAACCATGGCCACACCAAAGGGCATTGGCCGGTTTCAATTTTGTTGGTGGTGCGAGCAATCCTGCGCGTGGTCCTACCACGTTTCTGTTGTCGCGCACGTGATCCTATATCCAAGTCCCAATTCCTCTGTGTGTTTGTCCATATGGTTGCTTCTCCGCCAGGAAAACGGCGATGTGAAAAATGACGCACCGCGGCGCACAACGCAATGCAAGAAATCGCAGTAGCAAAAAGGAATGGATTTCCACGTGGCGTCATTACCACAGCTTCGGGATAGTTTCCAATGGACCACAGCCATCTGGCCACGCAAATTTCTGCCTGCACTGCCTGACAACTACGGCCTGATGATCGCAACTGCGGAGGGTTTGGTCGAGCCAATGGTCCCCCATCACTAGCTAACAGTTGGTACGCATATAACGTTTGTTTGTTTCACCGATCATGTGGGCTACCAATCCCTTGCCGTGCCACAAGCGTGCACTGAAACCCTGCCAGGTTGCAGGTCCACCAACTTTTGGCTGTGCTACTGGTCCACCGTGCGAGGGCCCGAGAATGTACGGGTCGTTGGATTGACCTGCCAATCTGCGTTCCCGTTTCCTTCCAAAGTGACGACTGCTCAAAACGAGTTTCGTTTCGTGGCAGAACTTTGAGTTTAGTGCCCGTGCGCGTGACCTTTGCGGAACTGTTCGCAACACTAACCTCCGTGCCACTATGCGCATTAATGTCGTATAATTATGTGTGTCGCAGTTTTGCACACGTAGCGGTCAAATTCTGACACGCCCGTGCTTAGCAGTGTTTTCTCAACAATGTTGGGTTTGGAAAATTTATCAAGGGTAGATCTTAGATCATGGTCCATTGGTCTAATTGGCCTGGTGTCAAGTTCTGCCTGTCCAGGCTTTGTTCGTGAATATTTCTAGGGAAATGAGCAGCAAGGAAGGAACCCGCCGCATGAAAAAAAGGGCTCAGAACAGCGCTCCCATGTTGGCTCGTCAAGTGCGACGTGTCGTTGCCCGCAGCCATGGCTTTGCAAAGATCCTGCCGGAAGGGCTGACGCCAAGGGTCAGTGCCCCAGTGTTTCTTTATCATCCAATTTCTTGGGTGGACCAACTAAAGGTGAACCATTGAAAAAGTGAACTCTGGGTTCCTAGCTCACCATGCGTATCCGTATAAGGAAGGGAATTCTCGAACCACCGTCTGGACTCTTGGACGGAATTTTGAAACGACCAGGGCAGGTCCCTTTCTGGTCGAACGGGCGCCCGAATCGAATGGTGGCCTCGTCGGCGCCCAAGGCCTTGGGTCGCACTGGTTGGAGCAGGTGTGGAAGCGCCACACACGGAGGAAGCGAGTTCTCCTCAGTTTGGATGAAACCGTTTGTCGTGAACATCGAAGACAGGCCAATGACGTAAACATACGTAAACAACCTTTGTTGACATTTTTTGCATTTTTTCGGCTCACATTGGGCTAGGCGTCGCCGGCCTCATGAAGTGTTTGCAAGACGATGGCAGTAGTTCCTGTTCCCGCGATTGGGGTTCCTAGCGCGTGCATAGTACATGGGGTTTGGATTTCGCACTGTGTCTACATATTTTTCTTCAGCTATACATATACATATGTATATAATATATTTTCTGCAATCCGTTTCTTTGGAACGCCTGGTGGGGTAGTGTTTCTTGAATCCCGCGGCCATGGTGGACGTTTTCAGAAAGAGCTGTTTGGCCAATTCTGCCAGCAGCGTCAGCACGGCGGAACCTGATGAGAACAATCGGCTCAAGTGGCCACCGCTGGGGATTTGTGAGAGCTGGATGAGGGACTTTGACTCCTTCAATCTGTTGAGCTTCAGCCTCCTGGACTTGGAACGCTTTGAGTTCGATCATGTTCTTCGTCCCAGCTCCGCGCTTTGGAAGGCCCAGATCGAAGTGCACTTGGACCGCCGTGTGGGTTCGAAGGTGGTGGCAAAACGCTTTTTCAGGGCATACCTGAAAGACAGCCCCGTGGACTTCCGAAAGGCCAAATCTGGAGGAAGTGAAGACCCCTGGAGCGAACTTTTTCTAGCCCTCAAGCTGGGGAAACACCTCCCAGGTCCAGGGGTGCTTCCCTGCCATGGGATTTTCATCCATCCATCGGGCGATGTGATGGTCATGATGGAATATGCAACCTGCGGCGATCTCTTTGACTTGGCCGGCTGCTTGGGAGAGCCGGGTCCCCCACGAGAAGTCCTCGCGGTGCAGCTCCTGCGTTCGCTGCTCCGTGCCGTGCGCTTCCTGCACCACGAGGTGGGCATCGCCCACGGCGACATCAGCCTGGAGAACGTCCTTCTGCGCGACCGTCCGGACTCGACTGGAGGCCCCGACGTGGCGCTGTTGGACTTCGCGCGGGCCGTCTGTCACGGTGCGTCGGCCCGAGCCGAAGTGCGGCGCCACATCGGCGCTGGAGACATGTACCGCCCACCGGAGGGTTGGTGCGTTGATGCCCGACGTGCCGACTTGTTTGCTTGCGGAGTGGTGGGCTATGTGTTGGCCATTGGGACCTACCCCTGGCAGAGCACCCGAGGCTGCAAGGCCTTCGAGTACGTCAAGAAGAATGGCTTGGCCCGCTTCTTCCAGAAGCGCACGGTCCCGGTTGGTTCAGCTCAGGTGCCCGTGGCCGAGCTACTGTCGCCACGCCTTCAAGCAGCGCTCATGGCACTCCTTGATGTGGACTCCTTCCACTGCTCCGAGCTCTGCGAAATGCTTCTGGATGGACTCTTGATGGAGCAGAGGGCCCAGCCCTTCGAGACGGAGCCGGCGACGCCTTTGTCTCGATGCTTTGGTGGGGTGTTTTTCGTTGTCAAGTGCTTGGTGAGATGACCCATGGAGGGTTTGGAATGGTCAAACGACGAATTCAAGAAATGGAGTTGGTCCGATACGACAGCAGTTCGGAGGAGTTTTTTGTTGACCAAGATCGGTTTGGCCATTTCCTGTGGTTTTTCAGGATTTTCGAGAGGAGTAGATCGACCGGCAGGAAGAAGCAGGCGGCAACCCAAGAAACTTGGGATTTTCGGGGAGGTTGGCATGACCCTCTGGGTGCCAACTATCTTGAGCCAGCTTGCCTCCTGAAAAGGTTCAATTGTAGGGCACGCTGCAGTTAAGCCATTAAGGCCAAGCGGCCGTGTGTCTAGCCCCAATCTTGTGATTTCAATATTTATATATACTGTATTTCAATCGCGACGGGCCACACCCAAATGAGAGCTCTTACGATAGTTTCTTGAATTCTGGAGTCATCATATGAATTCGTGGCGTGTGTCCAAGGCCAAAAAGTTTTGCACGACACCTCAAGCAACTGAAGTTTGGGTGGGGTCCGACTTCATGACCGCCTGATCCAGGTCAGGCTGCCGGCGCCCCCGGCCTGGTTTTTTCCAAGCAGAAGAGTTTTTGAACATGCACCTGGATGGTGAAGAGGAAGACTCCATTGGCAGATATCCCAGGAGAATTGAAGTCTTCATGTTGTGGGCTTGTGAAAGGTCTTGGGTTTTCTGCTGTTCGCGGCGATTGTGAGACTGGCCGCTCCAAAAAGGGCATTTTTCTTCGATCACATGTTCAAAAGGCAACCATTTGTTTTGACTAGTAGGAGGAGAGGTTTCAGTTTGCAAGAGCATGCACGCCAGCATCGCGGAAATGCCGCCCTCGAGCGAATTCAGCTTGTCGTGGACACTGTGCAGCCACAGCTCGTTTTGCTCACAAGGTGTGAGCCGGCGGGGGTTGGGGCACATGGTCATTTAGAATGTGGACACTTGGCTGGGGTTGCGCAGGTGGAACATGACCATTCACGCCTTTCCACCAGGCAGTTTGCAGACACCAGTTCTGCAGCAGCCCTTCGCAAACGCCGGGTGCCCCAGGGGCGACGCGGCGAAACGGGGGCGACGCGGCGAAACGGCGCAGCAAGCGTTAGTGACTTGGATCCCTGCCTTAACAACTTTGGGGCTCATTTTGGAACGGCAAGCGCTACATCCAGATGATGGGTTTGATCCTCGACTGGGAAACACTTGACCCACCCACTCGACGGCGGGTGATCCAAGTGCTCGGCCTTTTGTCTCGCTGAGCTGGTCTGTGTTTGTGTGTGTGCGCTTTTGTTTGCTTGTTTGCTTGCTTGCTTGCTTGCTTGCTTGCTTGCTCGCCTGCTTGCCTGCTTGCCTGCCTGGCTGCCTGGCTGCCTGCCTGCCTGGCTGGCTGGCTGGCTGGCTGTTTGTCTGTCTGTCTGTCTGTCTGCCTGCCTGGCTGGCTGGCTGGCTGGCTGGCTGTCTGTCTGTCTGTCTGTCTCTGTCTGTCTCTGTCTGTCTGTGTCTGTCTGTGTGTGTCTGTGTGTGTCTGTGTGTGTCTGTGTGTGTCTGT